AAAGAACAATAAGAATAACTGATGGTAAAGCTAAAATAAATAAAAAAGACATATTGGACAGACTGCAGAAGCCTCCCAGCGGAGGTACTACGACAATAAATATGTAGATTTTAATATTTATATTTTAATAATGATTTTTTGATTTCTATACAGTTTTGAGATTAATAATAGTTTCATATATTTTATTTAACAAAAACCATAATGCTGGAAGTTGACATTACTGCGAAAAAATATACTGTAGATAACGGGTAACTAAATCAGGTGTAAATAATTTATTGTTTACTACTGACACACATGGTGAAAAATATTTGCTTATTTAAAAAAAAAATGTTAAGTATCTTCATGAGCACACGAATCGAATAAATGTTTGCATTTATTTATTTTACTTGTTGATTTGGATCGTAAAAACGTATCCGTTTGTATAAATTAAAATTAGTWTGCTATATATTATTAATATTAATATTAATACAGCATAAAATTAGCCAATTTAGCCGTTTAAGAGGAATAATTTTCCATTTAAAAAAAAAAAAAAATTTGCTCCAATCAATTTCCAATATATTATTTGTTAATTACGTATGCAGTTCGTCGTTAAAATAAAAATAATTATATTATTAAATACATCATCATATTCGTTATATAAGAAGATCAAAATATGTGCTAATATAATAAAATCTTATTAATGTATACAGGGTGATATTTTTAACTTGCTCACTGTATTGGTTGGTTATGTTCAAATTATGCATATATTCAAGTTTTGATTTTTAAATTTTTAAATCTATTCGAAGACTTCCGAATCTTTGAGATTTTCGTTCCACTTAAGGATGATCGTATGATAATACAAACTTCTGTTTTTCAAATAATGAACCCACCTTTTTAATTTTAGTTATTAATTAGATATTATTTTATCTAAATAAAAATTCAGACGAAAAGTTTATTTTAAATTATATAACTTGGTATTCGAACAATAAAATATGTATGGTAATGGTTAAGTAGATAATGTGAGACGGATTTGAAAAAGTTAGTAATTACTATTTATCTATCAATGTAAATTATTTATAAAAGTATCTAAGCATAATGAAATGCTACAACTATTATAACACATATAGCTTGTGTTGTATAAAACTATTGTACCTATATGAACATTTTATAGTAACTCAGAAACTACTCTTTAGAATTTTCAAAAAAATC